CTGAAACTGAGTTGAACCAAAGCCAGGAGCCAAAAGTTTCTTCTGTGTCTCCATGTTTGTTCAGGGGCCCAATGATTTCAGCCTGAATTACCAGGCCACAGGAAAAGAGGTGGATGGGAAGCTGAGCAGCTGGAACATAAACCAGTGTCCATAAAGTACCCTGGTGTTTGCAATGTCAGGACTTTAGCCATTAGTTGCGCCATGTTCTCTTTCCTGTTTGTTAAAGCTTATTTATTTTTTATTAGAAAGCCAGATTGTACAAGAAAAAAAGAGATCTGTATCTTCCCTCACTAAATGGTGCACTGGCCATAGCTGAGCTAATGTGGAGCCAGGAACCAGAGCTTCCTCCTAGTCTCCCACTCAGGTGCAGGTTTGCAGGCTTTTGGGCTATTCCTGTCTGCTCTCCCAGGCACAAGCAGGGACTGAGGGGGAGGTGGAGTAGCAGGAACAGGAACCAGTGTCCATGTGGGATGAGGTGCTTGGGGGTGGAGGATCAGCCAGTTGAGCCAATGTGCTGGACCAGTAATGTCTCCATTTTCATTTCTGATTCTACTTATCTTACTTATCTGAGCTTTTCTCAAAGCTTTTGCTTTTGGTTTGGTTTTGGCCTGTCTGGTTAAATATTTGTCTATTTTATTTAAAACCAACCTATATTTTTGTTTACTTTCACATTTCCTTCATTTCACTTTCATTTATTCTGATCTGTCTCCTCCTGCTAATCTGGGATTTGGTTTGTTCTTGTTGCTCTGTGAACAATGACCTTGGTACTTTTATTGGGATCACATTGAATCTGTAAATTGCTTGGGGCACCATGGACATTTGGATCATATTAATTCTTCTCATTCAGAATCCTGAAAGATTTTCCCCATTGTTTGTGTGTCCTGTTCTTTCATTGAAGTTGTGTGACTTTCACTGTCGAGATCTTTCACATCCTTGGCTAAACTCACCCCAAGGCATTTCACTTGTTATAGCTGTTGTGAATGGGAAGACCTGGTTCACACAGGGGCTGAAGCACATGTTCTCATGTGTCTGCCTCTCAGAGATGTGAAGTTCAGGTTCCCCAGTTTCTGAGGGAGCAGGAGCATCTCCTATCAGATCCCCCCGGGAAGGATTCTGGGCTCCTGTCTGATCTGCTGCAGCCAAAAGCCTAAGGAAACCAGAGCTGGGATTGAATTATGGCAAATGTCCTCCAAATAAAAACAACTTTTCCCTGTGAATGTCTGTACCCTTTATTTATTGTCGTAAATGTTTATTCTCTTGCTTATTCAGTATTATAAATTCTTTAATAGTTCCCTATTATTTTTAGTTTTCAGTGGATGAGGCCATCCTAAGGGCACATGAGGGAGACAAAACTGCCCTCACTTGTTCCTGGGAAGTGAGCCAGTGGAGGGGAGCCTATCGTGGGTCTGTCAGTCTCCATCTGCCAAACAGACGAACATAAACTTTGACAAGAAAGACTCTGCAAGGAAAGCTCCATGGACACCTCTAAGGAAGGGTCGGGAAGAGCCCCTGGACTGGCCATCTGCTGAGAGGGGCTGCAGCCCAACTCCACTGGGACACAGAGGCCCTGACATCAGGATCCTTGTAGACCTTGTGCTCATCTGGCTGCCCCTCTGTGACCTTGGTGTACACTGCAACAAGAAGTACAATTTCTGCCTGGGGTCTGTGAGTTTTTACAGAACATGATCCAACCTGGGAGGAACACTGTGGAAAACCTCAACGTTGTAGCCACAGTGGTCAGAGAGCAGGTGACCAAGGTGGGAGTTGAGGGCAGCTGGTTTGGGAGGTGAGGGCAGTGTCAGGGATGGGCCTGGAACCTGCAGGTTGGACACTAACTGCAGGTGTTCCTGCCAGGATTCAGGGCAGGACTGCTAGTTGGTGTCAGAGAAGCAGACACCTCCTCGGAGAGAGGAAAAGCCCCTCCCTCACTGACCCATAGAAAGAAGAATTCTGAGGGAGAGTCAGGAAGTGAACCTTGTCTCCTCTGGAGCAAACAGAAGCATTTCCGTCACACCTCAGAGCTGCTAAATGCAGGACGCCCAGGCTGTCAGCATGAACAGAAGTCCTGGAGCAGGCCCAAGGTCAGGGTCATGGGTGTGAGCTGTGCCCTCTGTGCCCAGCAGCAGGGCTGTGGTTCCCAGCTGGGACCAGCCAGGGTGAGGCCATGGATTCTGCTCCTGGCTGTGCAGCCTCAACCAGGTTCTCTGCATTTCCTCTGCCTTCATCAGCTACAGTGTCACACAGCCAAGGGAAGGGTAACTTAGCAACTCCTGGATTTCACTGTGGGCTTCAAGGCGTGAGAATCTGTGTGGGGCACCATGTGAGGCAGCAGGCTCCTGGGAAGTTTTGTGTTCTCAGCTGTGTGCTCTTCCTGAACCTTCCTCCTGCTCTGCCCCACCAGGAGAGAGGGTACTGTGTATCCTCAATGTCCTGTGTCACACTGACCAGCTGTGCCCTTTATTTAACCCTTACTGAGAACCATGGACATAGGTGTGAGCACTTGGCACAGGGGTGGAGATGCAACTTGGGATGCCCAATCCCATCTCAGTGCTCAGTTGGAGTCCTGGCTCTACTTTCTGCCAAGTGTCCACCCAGTGCACGTTCTGGGACGCAGCAGATGATGCATGAGGACCCCTGGACTGAGTTTGTGTTCTGGGCTTTGGCTTGCCCCACTCCCAGCTGCTTGGACTTTTGTGGAGTGAGCCAGGGGATAGCGAGTACTCTTCATTTCACAAAGATGAAAAAAAATCTTTAAATAAATAAAAATAATTTTTGACTCCTACCACATCTTGTGGTGCTCTCTGCTCAAGGGCCTTGGGCTTCCCAATTGTGGGTGACAGTGGGGTTCATCGCTAGGCTTTCAGAGAACTCAATGCACCTTTGACCTTGGCTGTGCCATGTCTGGATGTGAACACTAGGAGCTGAAACATCACAAGCTGAGACTGTCATGATTGCCCCTTCCCCCAGCTAAACAGGAAGGTGCCCAGTGTGGGTGGGTTCTCCTTGGGGATTATATAGGTGACTTGGACTTGGGACTCCCTGCCCTGCCCAGCACGTTGTTAACAGTCCTGCCCATCACAGCAGCCCCAGGACAGTCAGAGGTCAGGATGGAGGTGTGGCTCAGAAATGGGTGCATGTGTTTGCCATCTCATAAGCCGGAATACCCTGAGTGAAACCACTCTAAGCTATGCCGCATGTACCCAAGTTTCTGCCAGAGTGGCCTCTCACTGTGTAGGTCCCGGGGCCCAGGTGTGCTCATGTGACCACCCATCAGGGGAGGCTGAGGTCCAGGTGAGAATCCTGTCTCCCCTCCTGCTGCCAGATGTGACCTGGGGTGGCACTGTCAGCACTCACCTGAGCCACGCACAGATGCCCTGCACAGTCTAGACTGTCCCAGCCCTCCCTGCTCCCACGGGAACCCCTAGCACATCTGTGTCTCACATTGACCACAGCACTGCAGCTTGTCAAGCAGTGGGCTTGGTTCCCCACTGAGCTCTCCATGTCCAAGGCTTGGTGCTGTGCACACTCTCATCACAGCCACTCACTTCCTGCGTGCCCCATCTCCATTTCTGACTACAGATGTGGTCCATGTGGAGCTACCTCCCCGGGGTGTCTTCAGTACAGAGACTTACCCTCATCCCCGACTCATGGTCACTACCAACCCCACAGTGTCACTTCTCACCGATGTCCTGGCTCCTGCACTGAATGCCGGGGCAATTCCGTTGGGATCTACCCTCCCATGTCAACCCTCTCTCACAGTCATGCCATCCCCACTGACACAGCCTGAAGCCCTGGGTGTCCTCCTTGCCTCCTCCTTCTCATTCCCTTGATGCCGTCCAGAGGAAGTGCTGTGTATCCATCTGCAGAAGGATCCAGAATCTCTTTCTCTCCCACTCTGCCCATGCCCACACCCACACAGTGACTGGTATCCCTGCCTGGACACTGCAGGAGCCCCGAGGGCTTTTTCTCCAGCCTCACAGTCTCTCAGCCACATCCTCACGCAGCAGCCAGGGTGGTCCCTGGATAGGAGAAGGTGCACACATGTCCGTCCTCTGCTCAGAGCTGTCCCGTGGCTCCCACCTCACTCAGAGTCAGGGCTGAGCCTTCCAAGTGTGTTTTCTCCTGCTGGATGGTGGTGCTCTGATCCAGCATTCCTGATGGCTCCCTGCTCTGTGTGCAGACTAGTTCTTGCCAAGGGCATTTGCACTGGCCATCCCCTGCCTGCGCAGTACCTGCCTACATACTTTTGCTGGTAAGCTATTGTGTCCTTCCAACCTTCCTCAGGACAGTGCACACTGATCATGGTGGTGAGACAGCCACTGCCCCAGCCCTCACACTCACTCTGGACCAACTTGCCCTGCACTGGGTCTGGCTCACAGTAGGGTGATCTTAGTACTGAGTGTGTTGTACCTGCCCTTCCAGACCCCGTGGTTCATTAGTGGAGTTTGAGACAGAGGCCGCCTGTGGCTGCTGCAGAGCGGCATCCTGTCTTGCTGATGTCCATGCAGCCTGTGCTTTCTCACAAGTGTCCTCTGCCCTCCTGCCTCCCTCCCTCTCTGACTCCTACACACACAGGCCTGAAGGCCACCAGAGCTCACACACAGGAAGAGCAGGTGCAATCAACTAACAACACTAAGGAACAAAATGGACAGGAGAAGACGGGAGCCCAGGGCTGACCCCAAGCCTTAGCTTTGACTGTCCTGGCCTCATGCAGCCACCACTGTTTGGGTCCATGAGATAGGACAGGCTGGCCACAGCTGAGTCGTGTGATGGCAGGCATTGGTGGGCACTTCTTATTAGAGAGATCAGGACACTGGGGCAGCTGAGCCGGGTCTGCAGTGACAATGGCAAAGCCTGATGGGCTGAGCACAGCCTGGGGACAGCCCCGTCCTCATGCAGGCCTCCCAGCTTCTCCTATCCCCTCCTTTAACAGACTGAACACAGCAAACGCATGCCTTCTGGAAGGTTTATGGTGCTTCTGTTTATTTTCTCTGTCCATTTTTTGGAATTTTCTTTAAATTTTCTCACTAACACCTCTGACAAGAATGAGAAAAATGATATGTTGTTCAGATTTGCACAGGGAAGGGAAAAGCTGCAGCATGTGCACCTGACTTGAGACAGGGATGGAGGTGCCCATGCTGGGCTGGGAGGGCCAGGCTCCCACCTCACACTGTGCCCACAGGAACACACTCAGATGCCTGTGCAGGAAGGGAGGGCAGGGCTTTTTGAAGACACAGGATGAGGACTTGAGCATGGTTCTATCCCTCTGTTCCAAACAAGACAATTGTCTCACACTACAGAAAAAAAAGGTGACAAATTCAGGTCATTACACATGGGTCAGGAATAGCCAAGCACATATGAAAATGTGCAAATGCAAGGAATTCCCCAGCCCCTTTGTTTCCCTTCAAACCCACCATCTCTCCCTGCTCCAGGCCCTCCAAGTCTCACCTTTCAAGCTGTGAGAGAGCAGTCAGAGCCATGGACACTGTCCCCACCTGGGAGAACCAATCAGGACTTGGTGAGAGTCCTTGGGGTGTGACTGAGACAGGAGCTACTGGGTGGGCAGGGCAGCTTCTCCATGGCCATCAGACCATGGCAAGGACCTTGGAGACTCTTCTACCCCAAAACACACCCCAGTGCTTACCTATAGTCCTAGTGTAGCTCCCTGCTTTCCCACCTGTGAGAGAAAACAAGTAGTGAGAGGCAGGGAGAAGGCAGGGCCTGAGGACCTGCCTAGCGGAAGCCCAGAGGACTGGCTCATCTCAGAGAAGATTCCAGAACTGTATCTGGCAGACCTAGGAAAGGGTCAGGAGGTGCCTCTCTTGGAGGTGTGTCCTCACCTGGGACCTTCCCCTGACCTGGGGCTGCTGGAACTCAGGTCCCCATGAGCAGTGTCATCCCTGTGGAGTGTTCCTCCCCACCTTTACTTGTGCTTCACACCAGAGCCAGTGTGAGCACCCAGGGCCCAGCTGGGGGTGCAGGTGTGTGTGCACTGTGTTTGCTGGGAACAGGGCAGTGGTACCTTTCCCCTGGGAGACAGCAGACTCAGACCCAGCCCTCACCCTGCCCTACCTGAGAGCTTCCTCCTAATCATCACAGCAGTGACCACAGCTCCAATGAGCACAGCTGCCACGAGGACCAGGCCAGCGATGACTCCCCACATGGGCACAGTGGGCTGAGGAGGCTCTGAGAGGGGAAGGGACAATAAGGGGCTTTGACACCCTGGTCTCAGCTCCGCCCTTGCTGAAGGCTCTGCCAGTTTCTGTCCTTCTTACCCCATCTCACGGTGAGGGGCTCAGGCAGCCCCTCATGGTATACGTAGCATGTGTATCTCTGCTCCTCTCCAGAAGGCACCAGCACAGCTGCCCACTTCTGGAAGGTTCCATCCCCTGCAGGCCTGGTCTCCACCAGCTCTGTGTCCTGGGTCAGGTCCTCCCCATCTCGCTGCCAGGTGAGTGTGATGTCCTTGGGGTAGAAGCCGAGGGCCCAGCACCTCAGGGTGGCCTTCTGGTCAGAGACTGGGTGGTGGGTCACATGTGCTGTGGGTGGGTCTGAGGGAAGATTTGGAAAATTCAGACCTTTCATGTTCTTCACCTGACACTAAATTTACACTCAGTGACCATCCTGAGAGTGGACAGGAGGACAGGGGTGGGGAAGCAGTGCTAACTCAGACCTGGCCTGGATAAAGACAATGGGATCATCTGTTGTCTGCAAAGATGTAGACAAAGAACCAGGTATGGTTCAGGCTGGGAGGACCCGGGTCTCTAAAGGGTTGAAATGGATTCGGTCTTGTCCTGAGTGGAGGCAGAGACTGAGAACCCTGAATCTTCCCAGTGCATTGGCTTGAGGTTGGGGACAGGCCTGGGAGGGGTCACAGCTCACAGGATCCAGAGGGAGTCCAGGGTACCAAGAGGATTCCTTTCAGAATTTTCTATGCCTGCACAATTCAGATTGCTCTTCCACCTGTGGAAAGTGTGGGTCTCTTTCTCTGGACCCAAAACCCTGGAGGACATCCCTGCTGCAGCCACGAGGAGAGCTGGACACAGGCCTGGGTCTCACTTTCTTCCCCTCCTCCACAGTCCAGAGGCAGCCCTGGGGTTGTTGGTGAGGGCAATCCCTACCTGCCCTGCGCACCTGTGCGCTGTAGTGTCTCCTGCCCCAACTCCAGGAATCTGCGCAGCCACTTTACACACTCCCCCTCCAGGTAGGCCCTGTGCTGCTCAGCCACATCCGCAGCCTCCCACTTGGACTTGGTGAGCTGAGCTTGCTTGTCCGCGGCGGTCCAGGTGCGCAGGTCGTCATTGAGGACAATGTAGTCGGTGCCATCATAGGCGGATTGCATGTACCCGCGGAGGAAGCGCCCATCTGCCCCGACCTCGCAGCCGTACACGTTCTGGATTGTGTGAGAGCCTGTCCCCGCCCATGGTCAGCCCTGGCCAGGCAGCTCCTCCCCCACCCTGACTGACCCGCGGGGATTTCCACTGAAACCGAAAATGCAACCTGGGCGTGTCCCGCAGACTCCTCCCGCCAAGGGTCTCCGCGGGGCGCGCAGTCTCAGGGTGGGGGGACCTCGGCCCCGGGCCCCTGAGCGCCCTGGGCGCACGTAGGGAGGCGTCGGGTCACTCACCGGCCTTGCTCTGATTGTAGCGGCCAGGCAGGGTGTTTAGGTCCATGCAGAAAATCTGTGTGGTGCTCTTAGCGAGCCGTGTGTGCCTGGCCAAGTACTCTGGCTCCACCTGCTGCATCCAAGGCGCCCGCGTTTCCACACTGGGGTTCTGGGCGTCGCTGTCGAAGCGCACGACCTGCGTGTCGTCCACGTAGCCCACGGAGATGAAGCGGGGCTCCCCGAGGCCGGGTCGGGACACGCCGGTGCTGAAATATCTCATGGAGTGGGAGCCTGAGGGAGAGAGGGGCTGAGACCCGGATTGACGCCCAACAGGAGTGGGATGCTGGGATCTTAAGTTCGCTGGGGGTGGCAGGGCAGTGTCCTTGGGGTTGCTAAACAGTAAAGGGTTAGTGGGGAAGGGTCTGGCGAGGGAGAGGGAGGGACAGCAGGCCCAACGTGGAGACAACTTTCCTGGAGGCGTCTCCCTGGTGTCCTGTGTCACCTCCATGGGTTCCTTCCTTCTGGCCCCAAAGAGTCCATCTCCCTCATGAGCTTTACTCACCTGTTTCAATCAGGGCCAGGGCTCCTGGGAACAGCAGGAGGAGGGTGCGGGGCACCATGGACCCCATCCTGGACTTCGGAGGAGACTCTGACTCAGGATCCTCCGTGCCAATTTTATAACCAGTTTGAGGCGGGGCTGATTGGCTCCTCTGGAAGCCGCTCGCCCAATGGGAGTGAGAAGTGTGCTCACCTCAGGAGTGTCCAGGAAGAAGGAGCTCAGGATGTGAGATGGGAAGTGACACTGTGAGCACTGGGCACCTGCTGCTTTAGAATCCTGACCTCTGCCTCTGTCCATACCTCCTTTCAGCCTCCCCCCTGTCATTTTTTCTTCTCCCTGTGGTCCCCCTACCCCATCTCAGACCTGAACCAGGGCACTAGCAGGGTCCCTCTCCTGCCATGCAGGGAAGCTGTTCCCACTGTGGTCAGCTGCCTTGCTGATGTGAGTCAGGGGGCTCATTGCTTCATGAAAACAGCTCAGTGGCAGCGTTTGCTGTGGTGCTGCAAGATAAGCACCACTTGTAAGGTCAACATCACACATCCTAGGTTATTTGGAGTCTAGGCTGTTCTGCTTGCACCCACCTTCTTGTTGATGTACTGGGAAGGCAGCAGAAAATCCCCAAGGGATTTCTCACTCACTGGTTCTGTCCCCAAAGTCCACTATGTCCTGGGCTGAAGACAGAAGCCCACAGCTCCATCTAGGCCTCCATGTGGATGCAGGGACCCAAGCACCAGGTCCATGTTCCCCTGCTTTCCAGGTGGGCGAGCAGCGAGCAGGGCAGTCAGGAGTCACACAGGTGCTCTCATCTGGGGCGCTTGGATTGCAGGTGGCAGCTTACCCTGCCCAGCGCCACAGTGCCTTCCCTGACACTGCCTTTCATGTAAATAAACAAAAAGCAAAAATTGCACCTTTCCATGACCCACTCTGCTGGCTGCATCTCACTTTAGGGAAACCTCTAGAATGTAGGGCCCATAAGCATAGAGACTTAGGCTGTTGGTCAAAGCTGCAACTCCAGCACACAGAGTCATCTTTGCTGATGTAGGTACTCAATTAATTCAAAGACCTGAACAAGATTACATTGTAATATAATTGTATAATGTGACAATTGTCTAATTGTCTCATGTGACAATCATAAAATAAATAGTGCAGCAAACATTGGAGAAGGTTTTGTCTCATGGGAGGAGTGTTCATGAGAGTTCACGAATCCCTCCAGCAAGGATGACACTTCCTGGGGTGTCAGGTGCACACTGGGATCCAGGTATTGCTAGCTTTCCATTCCTGCATCACAGGTACCACACCTGGTCGCTCAGAACCACACTCCTTCCTTGTTCATTTCATGTCAGACTCCAGGCCTGGTGTGGCCTTGCTCTCTGGGCAGGCTCTCACAGAGCTGAGTTGGTGTCTTGGTGTTGGAGTCCTCCTCCAGCCTCCTTGGAGCTTGAGGCAGAGTCCAGCTCCGTGCAGGTGGAGGCCTGGAGTCCTGTTTGTGGGATAGCTGTCAGGGTGCAGGGGGAAGCTTCTCCCAGCCCCAGGGCGCCACCTTCTCTGCCCCAGGGTCCTCCAGAGTCAGGGGCTTGGTGGAGAGAGGGGCATGTGTTACACTGAACCCCTCCCAAGTTGAGTCCCTCTCTTTAACTTGGTCACAATTCCTCTAACTCCCCTACTCCTGTGTACAGATTCAAGGTTTATTTTTTAAATTTCCAGCTCCCACATGAAGGTGAACATGAGGTATTTGTCTTATTTTGTGGCTCATTTTACTCAGCATGATGTCCTTCAGTTCCAACCATGTTGATGCAAATGACAAGACATCACTCTATCACTCCTTTTTTAATAAAATCATTTTTTATTACAAAGTCAGATATACAGAGAGGAGGAGAGACAGAGAGGAACACCTTCTATCTGATGGTTCACTCCCCAAGTGACCACAACAGTGGAGCTGTGTCACCCCGAAGCCAGGAGCCAGGAATTTCTTCCAAGTCTCCCATGTGGGTGCAGAATCCCAAGACTTATGGCTGTCCTCGAATGCTTTCCCAGGCCATAAGCAGGGAGCTGGATGGGAAGCTTGGCTGCTGGGATAGAACAGGCATACATATGTCATCCTGGTGCATTCAAGCTGAGGGCTTATCTGCTAGGCCACTGCTCCCTGGCCAAGGCATCACTCTTTGTATAGCTGAACAGTATTCCATTGTGGTGCATACTGTATTTTCTCTACCCATTTTTCTGATGATGGGTATCTTCTTTGCTTTCACATCTTGACCATTGTGAGCAGTGCTGCTGTACGCTGTGGAGCTTTCCACTGTGACACAATCAGTCATGTCTTTTGTTGTGTGCCCAGGAGTACGATTGCTGGTTCATGTGGAAACTGCTGTTAAAAGATTTTGAAAAATCCCCAAACTGTTTTCCATCATGGTTGTCCTAATTTATGATCCCAACAGCATTGTATTCGATTTTCCCTTTTCTCATACCCTTGCCTGCATTTGTTAAAAACCAGACTAAACCCAACCCAACCCAACCAAACAAAACCATACCAGCCAGTCAAGGTAAGATATTGGCAAAAGACCTAATAGGCAGTTCTTGAAAGAACTAGAAATGACCCCTACATGGAAAATGCTTAACAGGATCAGCTGTCAGGGGAATGCAAACCAAACCCCCAAGGAGATGTCCCCTGGCCCTGTCAGAATGGCTGTTACTGAGAGAGAGTGACAGCCATGTGTATCTGCACACAGGGAGAACGCAGTCCTTTGAAAGGCTCCCCAGAAGGGACAGACCAACCCAGAGTAACCCCTGTCTCAGGGCCAGCTGATGGAGACCTTCAATTCATTTTTAAAATCATTTCCCAGTGGCATCTACATCAGCAGTTGATTGAATACAGGGCTGTGTGCAACTACCCAGGCCACTATAGGATCAGGCTGCCTGGCTTTCCATTCCTTGGACATTCGAGTGAATTCAGGTTGAAAATGCAAGGTCAGATAGATTCTTTTGAACAGTAATGACTGCTTTTTTTTACCCTTTGGCTAAATT